CCAGCTCCCAGATAAAGGCTCTGGGAGGGTCTGGGGGAGCCGGGGGAGGGGCTGAGAATCACCAATCCCAGGGTGGCTGGAGGGGAGGGGGAGGCTGGTGGGGGGAAGAGGGATATAGGCTGCAGCCACACACACACACACACACACACACACACACACACGCACGCACGCACACACCACAAACCCAGCAGTGAACGGCGGTTATCCAGCGGCCCACAGTCCAATAGCCCCTGAGCTGTGCATGCTAAGGGATGATGTTGCATACGGTTTGTCACAAAATTTCCATGCCAGAGCCTACTCAACAGGTGCGGTCCCTGGGCTCTCTCTCCTCCTTGTCCACCCACCAGCTCTTTGCCCTTTAAACTTCCAGCCTCAACTGCCCGGCCAAAACAATTTCCGCCAGGTGCTGCTCTGGCCCTTCTACCACCAGGATGAGCAGGCTCAGGTCCCTGACGATTGAGAGGTGAGTCTGGCACACCCTCCAGTCCTCAGTTCTCCCTCTGTCCTCCTCCCGGCTGGAGCTGACCCATCGCGTTGGTCCTCAGACCAGTAGGGTTGGTACTTCTCCCCACTAGTGAATGCAGAAAACTCCAGGGTCTGCCCCCCTCCACCTCCCCAGTGCCAGAGCCTCTCCCCATGGCCTCCCACCCCACTCTTGACCCCTGAATCAGCCTGACGTAGTTGCATCCTTCCAGGGTTCTGACTTCTATCCTTCCTGCTGTCATCTCTGAAAGGAGGGACAGAGCACCATGGCTGAGCTCTTCCCCTACCCTCACCCCCGCTCCAGCATTGATCTCTTAACTGCTTCTTTTTCTCCTCACAGTTGCATTTTTTTCCACTCTAATCTGTCTCCCTACAGCTCAGGCATCTTCTCCCCTGAACTTTCAAGCCTCTAGTTCACGCCCCACAGTCGAGGGGCCTTATTCTGCTCACTTCACACCCAAGGTAAGAGAATCCCAGGGGAGAGGCAGAGTCAGGATCTGATCCAGATCCAGAGAGAAAAGACCCAGAGAGGAAAACATACTGCTGCAGGAGACGAGAGGAGGGAAAGAGAAAGCTGGCTCCAGAGCAATCATCACTCTTAGCATTTGTAATGGGTGCAGAATTTGAACATTTGCAAGACGCTTCGGCAGAGAGCAATCCAACTGATTCTCATCACCTCCACCGTGTGAGTAGGAAATATTCCTATTTTCAGATGAGAGAACTGAGGCTCAAAAAATTCAGTCACATGCTCTAGGACATATAGCTATTGGAGAACAGCCTCAAATTCAGGTTTTTCTCACTCCAAACTTCCCCTTCATTTTACTGCACTGGTCTGTACTTTGACCAGTAAGGGAACAGTTAAGTCTCCCAGAGGGAGTTGGGGGTCCACCTCTCCAAAAGACCTGGAGATTTGGGACCTTGTGCTCTTCTACATCTTGGGATTGGGAAGAGAATCATAGCTCTGTTGCATATTTACTACAAAGACTTCTGCTCACCAGCACCTTCCCCAATCACCCTATTTAAAATTACTACCACTCCATTCTCCATATCCCTTCATTTCTTTTCTTCATATATTACATCAAACATACTACAATTTTACTTATGGTCTGTCTACCCCACATCCCACCAGAATGTCAGCATTATAAGGGCAAGGACTTCCGTCGCTTTACTGTTGGATTCCTAGCTCTATAGTGCTTGGCATATAATAGGTGCTCAATAAAAATTTATTTATAAAACAAAAAAGCAAGTCTGAGTCCAGCTTCTTGCATTGCGGCCCACAATGTGGATCCTCCACAGAGCCTCTCAAGCACTGCTAGGGTCCTGAAATGTTTGTCTCCCCACCCTACCCACCCTGGGGTTTGGGCCATACTGAGAAGTCATTCCGGCTTCACGGGGCCCCATGTTCATCCCCGAGTGAGGGCAGCAGCTAGGTCTCAAGGCCCCTTAATTATGTGAGAGGCCAATGGGGCCTCAGTAAAGGCTTCCCATTACCCAGCTAATTACAGGGCTCTGTGGGGCAACCATGGCCCAGGACTCAGGGTTGGGAGCCATTAGTGGAATAAAAGGTAGAAGTGGAAGGCTGTTTACATGTTAATGGCATGACTTGTTCATGCCTTTGAGAAGCTCTGATGCTATTCCTAATTGGACCAGGTCACCTCCCACCTCCTCCTCTTCTCCTCCCTCACCAATCTGGAAAAGGAGGTCCAAGCTGGGCAGGCTGGAGGAAATTGGGGGTGCAGTAGGAAGAGTGTGTTAGACTGAGGGCTAAGAACAAAAGCCTCCTGGGTCCCATCTCTACATCAGCCTCCCTCCCCCACCAACCCATCCATCCCTGCCCCCAAGCCCTGGGACTACGGAAGCAAGGATTCAGCAAAGGTCCGTCATGAATAATCTCCTTTGATGATGAGGCATCTCACAGAGGATGGCAGGAGCCAAGGATGGGGGGAGCAAGGAAATGGCAGGGAGAATTGACCACCTCTTGATCTCTGGGATTAGCAAAGACTTGAAAGAGCTGATGCTAAGTCAGAGAGGTGATGAAGGAGGGAGGCTTTGGAGGGCTAGCGCAGGCTGGGCTTCACTTTGCCCACAAATCATATGCAAATGACATGTAAAGCAGGTGCTGCAGCTACAGAGAACCTAGGTGTGTTTCCTTTGAACACTTACTCTTTGAGCCACACCTCAGACACTAACTGTCACTGGCCTAGTGGAGCAGGATCCCTGGCAGACCATCCCTCTGGAGCCCCCCCCTCTTTATTGCTGGTGCAGGTTGGGGGTGAAGCCAGTACAACACTGAGCTGAGATGCTTTAATCGGCCATTCCCAGGGGTCAAGGTGGAGCACGTGCCTGTGCGCGCGAGCTGGCCTGCATATGTCCACCACATGCACAGCTTGGGCGCGACACGTGGACCCCTTCGACATCCTGGAGGGGTGCTGCGGGCTGCTGAGGGAGGGGGCTGGGCCATATGTGACAACGGGTGGAGATACCAGTGAGGAATGGAAGGATGCCGAGTCCTGTGGCCAGGACACAGTCGGGAGACAACCCACAGCACAAGGAGAAGAGTCCCTCAGAGCCTGGGGAAGAAATGGGCTGAGCCAAGAGGGCTGAGCTAGAGTGGTTTGTGCTGTGAGATGCTCAAATGGCCCCTCTTGGGGGTTAGGGGACTCCAGGATGGCTTGTGCCCCTCAGAGGCTCAAACAGCCTAGACTTTGAGAGAGCTGGACTGGCTGTGAGCAGGGGGGGCAGCAGAACTTCAGCTTCTCCCATCATGATGGAGCCAATTCAAGCCCTATAACACAGGTGGGGAAACTGAGCCCCTATAGGCTTCAGGGAACAAAAACACACACTCCTGAGCTCCAGAAGAGAAGAGAAGCAGAGACAGGAAAGAGGAGGAGGGAGGGAGAGAAGGGAGAGTAAAGAAGAGAGGACCCCCCACACACACCTCCCTCAGCCTACCATCTATCCACATGACTGACGGGGGGAGGACAGGAAAGAGAGCAGGGGCCCCAGCACTCCCCGCTCCTACCATCCCCAGCCCGGAGAGCTGACAGTGCCTTCAGCCCTGGGAAAGGAAAAGCAGGATAGGGAGCAGCAGCTGCATATTCTCCTGAAATTGCTTCTGAAAATGACCAGACACTTCACTGGGAAAGTGACGACAATTTGGGCCCTGGGAGCAGCAGATGAGGCGAGAGCGGGGGCGGTCAGGCTCTGGTCACCACCCCCCTCTCGGCCTGGTTCTGAGAAGTAAAGGACGGGGGAACTGTTGGGGGTGGCGGAAGGGTGGCCAGAGCCCCAACTCTGGACACGGCTCCCCACGACAGCTCTAACCCCTCACCCACTGGGAAGGGCTGCCTCCCTGGGCCCCATCTCAGCTCAGAGCAGGGTGTGCCAGAACACGGGGCTGGCTTGTGCTCTGAGGGCTAGATTAATCGGCAGTCAGAGGATGAGCTAATCAGGTCTCCCGCCAGCATGACTACCTGGGGAGTGAGCTGCCTGCCAGTGGAAGCTGAGGTGGAGGGAGACCCCAGCCTCAAGGCACCGTGAGCTCAGCGGAGACAGGGAAGAGGCAGGGAAGGCAGAGGTCCGAAAGGAGGCAGAGCCGTCCAGACAGAAACAAAAGGCAGCCGTTTGTGTGCTCGCACAGAGCGCAGTCTACATTTTACTGCAAACCCAGGAGATGCTTGTTCCCCAAAGGTAGAGAGCAGAGTGGGAGAGGCTTAGACAAGACAGAATCTATGAGGAAATGGCCATGAAGGAAGTGGGGGAGGGCGATATTTAAAGCATTATACAAACTCTTACGTGTTAACATTAGTCAGAGCCCACAGCAACGGGGACAACGAGATGGTGTGAGACAGTTGGAAACCAAGAAAGAAATAATGACGATGACACATGGAAAATAAATGAAGACGAGAGGGAAGAGGTCAGTCATAGGGATGGGAGAGTCCGGGTGCGGGGGGCGTGTCCCCCTGTCAAGTGCCACCAGCTGCAGGCCCCAGCTGTGGGGCAGTGATTAGTAAGATAACTGTTGGCAGCAGCCTGGCATCTCTGGTGTACGGAAAGGAAAGGGGTGTCAGGGGGCAGGTGTGACAAAACCCAGTGCTGAGCTTGGGGTGGAGGGAGCTATGGAGCCGGGGACCCTGCATTCCCCAGCTCACCTCAGCTCGCATAAGCCCTCCAGCCTTGGGCCTCTTTCCGGGCTAAATCTCCAAAGGATCCCAGTTTCTGCCAAGACAGGAATCCTCACTTCTTCCCTCCAGGGACACACTTAATGAATCAGCTCATTGGCCACCTGCGACCTGAGCCCCATCCCCGACTGCCCCACCCCCACCCCAGTCTCTCCAAACCCCGCCAGAGCTCAGCCGGTCAAGGAGCCCGGAGACAATTTCCCTTCTTTTTCATTCTTATTATCTGCATTAGCTGGCTCCAAGGAGCCTGAGGAGAGGAAAGGGAGGGGGGCGGAGGGTCTAAGTACAAGCCAGTGAAAAGATGGGGGAACAGGGACCCACCCACATGACCATACCTTTGCAAAGCCTCTTGTTTTATTAGTGGGCAAAGAGGCTGAGGGCGGGAGGAAGCTAAGTTTGGAGAGAGGACTGGAAAGGATTGGGAGAAGCAAGGTCCTCTTCAAGGGTTCTGCACTCTCTGAGCCCCACCTCCCATCAGAGGGCTCAGGCACGGGAGCCTCCCACGAAGGTGGGTGGGTGGGAGTAGGGCTGGTGCTGGTCCAGGAAGAAGAAACTGCTGCACCTCCTCACTGCACAGTCACCTCCAGGCAACGACTCCCCTTCTTCTTGCAGCTCAGCTTGCCATTCCCACCACCCCCAGGGCCCTGGATGACCCTGACAGCCAAGCTGCTCTCCTTGAACCTCACTGAGAACCTGGAGGGGGAACAGACAGAAAGACAAAGCTAGTGCCCTCATCCCCTCACCCCTACTCCTGTATTTTCATGGTGGCTTCCCCTCCCCTTCTTGAGGCAAGTACATCCCCCCACCAGCCCCCTATGTCAGAAGACTCAAGGCCGCAGAGAACTTGGGTGGCCCTGACCTGACATAGTACGCTTCACTTTCTGACAGGACAAATTTCCCCGGTCACAATGACCGCCAGCTTGGTCATCTGCCCCAAGCCATCCCGCACCCCCAGCTCATGGCCTTACTCCTCAGTCACGGTGACTGGAAGCTGCCTCTGTGTGGCATCCAGCACAGTCCGGTACATTTTGGTCAGCAGTTCAATCACATGCTCGCTGACCAGCAGGAAGTCCCCCTTGGAGCCCACTGATGATATCTTAGGAAGGAGAGAAACAGCAGGGAAGGGATTCATTTTTTTCTCCTCAGGAGCAGCCTGGGAGATATCAAAGGCCCAGAGTGAGAGGTCTGCTCTCCATGGCCTCCAGCTCGCCCCAGCCCTGTGATGCCCACCACCTTCTCCAGTCTGGGGCCCTGCCCCCACCCAGCTCTGATACCTCACTCAGATGCATGCTAAAAAGCCCATCCTTGAAGCTGGTGACTGACACCCCGGCCACACTGTTTAGTGCGATGACAATCTTGGCCTGGGAATTCTTGGTGTCTGAGATAATCACATGCCCCTTGGTCAGAAGGAGAATTCGAGAGGAAGTCTAGGGACAGAACAGGAAAGGGTGAGGAAGGGTCGTGATGCGTCCCCACCCTTCCAGCTACCAGCCGAGGCTCTGGATCAGGCTGGGGGAGGAGTTCAGGATATGGGCCTTCACCTTGCCATTGCCACGGTTGACCTTCATCACAGTCTCAGCCACCAGAACAGGCCCTTCCTCCCTGCCCTTCAGCTTCTGTAGCTTGGGGTTTCCTTGCAGCCCAATGTAGTCACCGTGGAATGGAATAGGGACACTGAGGACACACGGGAGGTACGCAGTGGAGATAAGGTCCTTACCTCCGACCTCCAAGGTCCTTGTACCTCCCCCCCCCCGGGGTTCCCATCTTGGTCCTCCCGTGCTCCATCCCCCATCCTCCGCCGTACCCTGTGTCTCAGCGGTTCTCAGAGCACGGTCCAGGACTGACATCAGCATCCCCTAGGACCTTGTTAGAAAGGCAAATTCTTTGGCCCCACCCCAGACCTCCTAAAACAGAAACTCTGAGGAGGGCATGCCGCAACCTGGCTGTTATCCAGTCTGCCAGGTGACTCTGAGGTGCACTAAAGTTTGAGAACCACAGCTCTGTTCCACCTGGGGAATCTTCTCTTTGCTATTGATGAAACTGCACAGGGTCTGGGAGGCACTCACCTCTGGGGGTATGAAGCCTTCTTGCCCTTGAACAGTTCGCTGGCACAGAGCTTCTCCCTTAGGACCTCTACCTGCTTTGGGGACAGCTGATCCCGGAATTTCTTGCACTGTGACAGGGGCGGGGAAGGAGGACACTTCAGAGGGGGCAGGGTCTGGAGGAGCACTGGGGAGGGGAAGGGGGACTGAGGGATGCTGGGGGAGGGGGATGGAAACAGTCAAATACAAGCCCCAGGAGGGCTGTGTGCCCACAGCACAGCACAAGGCCTACTCCCAGACAGGTGCTCAAAAGTATTTCTTGAGTAGAAGAACTCTGTGCTAAGTGAAATAAGCCAAAGGACAAATGTGGCATGAGTTCACTTATATGAGGTACCTAGAATAGTTAAATTCATAGAGACAGAAAGTAGATCACACTTTCTGGGGGCTGACGGACAGAGGAATGGGGAGTTATTGCTTAATGTGTACAGAGTTTCAGTCTGGGATGATGAAAAATAGTCTGGAGACAGATGGCAGTGATGGTTGCACAACAACGCGAATGTGCTTAATGCCACTGAACTGTTTACTTAGAAATAGTTAAAATGGTAAATTTTATGTATTACCACAATAAAAAAAAAATTTAAGTGGAAGAGGGAGGCAGAAGAGGAAAATCAGGAGGAGGAGAAAAAAAAAAAAAAAAAAAAAAGACAAATGAGAGAGGAGTTGCCTGAGCACCAGGAGAGGCTGCCCAGGCCCCGCTCACCTTCCACTGGTAGAAGAGCTTCTGAAGCTCGTGGTTAGCTGTGTTGAAGTACTTGTAAGGGGCAGCTGGCCACCTTTTGTCCAAGACATTGGTAGGCAAATCGTTCTTCAGCCCCAGGAGGAATTTCCGTGCCTGGGTTGGGAGCAGGGGCGTTGGGAATGGGATGACGAGAAGACCTCCTGACAGGCAAACTGGCACCCAGATCCCACCACTTTGAGGGAGAAGGCCACCCACAGGGAGAAGCAACAAGTGGAGTTGAGGAGATGGAAGGGAGTCCCCTCCTGATCTCTTTCAGTGTGAATGTAGACTTGAGGTTGGGCAGTAACAGCGTGATCAGGAGATGGAGGGGAGAGGAGTAGTTCCAAGCAGATACCTTCTACACAGGGTGGTGAGGTGGGAGGAGCAATATGAAAACTGGCCTTAATATTTTGCTTCTGTAGCTTCCTATTCTCGAGGCTTATAATTGCCTACAGATGGCTGCCCCACTGTCTGTGTTAGCTATTGGACAGGTGCCAAATCTTCCCTCCTCTCTGCTCAGTCAAGGCCAACACCTCAACCTGGCATTCAAAGTCCTCTACTTAGAGCCCAACCTCATGTCACAGGGTCCCCTGCATTATCTAATCCTGGCACACCAACCAGACTGGACTCCCTGACTTGCCCCTGCCCAGCCCACTCATTATCCCTCTGTGCCTTAGCTCATGCTGCTCTCAGCTCAACTCTGCCGACCCAGATTCTACCTATCCTTTGAGATGCAGCTCAAAGCCCTCCCAGATTCCCTGGGCCAGTGGTGTCTCTCCTTTCTTTGAAGCCCCATAGCACTCTGTCTATACATTTGTTTTTGTACTACTGTTATTTGCATGGAAATCTCCCTCTTCTACAGGGTGAGTCTTTGGGAGTCAGGATGCTAGGTCCTGAGTTTTTTCACCATTCAACATCATTGAGCATCTGTTCTGTGCCTGGCACTGTTCTAGGTATGGGGACACAGCAGTGAACAGAGTAAACAAAGCCTCTTCTCACTGAGTTTACATTCTACTGTGGGTGGAGAAGGAGACAGCCCACAAGCAAATAAACATAGACTGTAGCTTCCAATAATTATATACGCTATGATGCAAAAAAAAAGCAGAACAGAGACAGGAATGAGTGGTAGCATATTCCAGACAAGAAGGAAAGCCAGTGTGACTGGGCTAAATTGAGCAAGAGAAGAAAAGATCAGAGAGTAGGTTAGCCAAGGAGAGATCATGAAGGGCCTTACTGTAGGCTGTGGTAAGGACATTTGGCTTTATGTGGGGTGAAATGGAACACCTTTAGAGGGTCTTAGAGGAAGAGTGACATAAACTGACTTAAGGTTTTACTTTTTAAAATGTAATACAACTTATTTTCTTATTTTGAAATTTTTTTAATTTGAGTGAAAGCTGAAAACAACATTGCAATGAACATCTGAATAACATATACTTCTCACCTAAATTCACCAGCTGATAATGTTAACATCTTACCCTATCTTTGTGCTCTTTCTAACACACGCACACATAAATACAAATGCATGTAAGTATATAAATACACGCATATGTACAAATCTTGGCTACTATAGCATCCTAAAGTAGGTTACAGTTATCATGACATTTTCCTCTAAAGCTTAAGCACGCATTGCCCAAGAACCAGGATATTTTCCTACACAATCATGATTCTATCACCATACCTAAGAAAATTAACATTAATTGGACACACTCACCCAACAGTAACGTATATGCAAATCTCTTCTAATGTCCTTTATAAACTTTAAAAATGTACTCTTTGACTTTGTTCTTATTTTTCCTGATCCAGGATCCAATCAAGTTTCACCCGTGGCATCTGACTGTTTAGTCTCCCCCAATCTAGAACAAGGACTCTTAAGTCTTTATATCTCAGGGAGCACCTAGCACCCTGTTTATTTAATGGGATAGAATTACTGAAGGTATAGAAAATGACTTGACCTTGAACACTTCCAAATTTTTGGAATTTTTGTGAAAACTTTTTACTGAGATATTAGGTTAAAAAACTAAAATAGAAAAAGGCAGAACACACAGTACATTGCTGTAACTCTCCAGGAACAATCCAAGCTCTTTGTACCTTCCACTACAAAGATCTAGTGGGCTTGGTCTAATCACCCTGGAGTCCCCAGTCCTTGGCCTGGTTTGATTTAATTCAATAAACATTCCTTAGCATGTCCCATAATCCCATAATCCCCCATGTTCCAACTGATGTGGAGATTCTTTTTTGTTTGTTTTTTTAGATCTAGAAAGTTCTGCTTTTCCCTATGCAGCCCTCCTGCCCACAGGTCTACCCAGAGCCACGGATACCTGGGTTGTCCAGGCCTCTGTGAGTGTGTTGGGAGTGGTGAGGCAGGAAGGGGAGGGGAACAGTCATAGGTGGTGGTTAAAACTAGAGTCAAATAGCTTGTACCCCAGCTCTACCACATACCAGCTATGGAACTCCTACAAGTTATTCAACTTCTCTGGGCCTTAGTTTTTACCAATAAAATGAGGGAAAGAGTATATTTTATTTTTTAAAAGCATATACTTTGAATAACAATTTTCTGAGCATGTTTAACTAACCTAGGTAAGAAAACCATGGTGTTTAATTGTAAATAGATTGATATAAGATTGGACCAATACTTGATGTGTACAATTTTAGTATATAGGGTTTTGTCCTTTTAAAAAGAAAAGGTCGGGACTTCCCTGGTGGTGCAGTGGTTAAGAATCCACCTGCCAATGCAGGCGACACGGGTTCGATCCCTGGTCCAGGAAGATCCCACATGCCGCGGAGCAACTAAGCCTGTGCACCACAACTACTGAGCCCGCTTGCCACAGTTATTGAATCCCACAAGCCTGGAGCCCCGTGCTCTGCAACAAGAGAAGCCACCACAATGAGAAGACAGCGCACCGCAATGAAGAGTAGCCCCTGCTCGCCACAACTAGAGAAAAGCCCACGTGCAGCGATGAAGACCCAAAGCAGCCAAAAAAAAAATTTCAATTAATTAATTAATTATAAAATAAAATGAGGGCAATATAAGGGCCTACCTCAGAGGGTTGTTGAAAGCATTAGAGTTAATGCATGTAAAGGGCTTAGCACATAGTAAGTGAGTTATAGGCAAGGCAATGGCAAAATATGGACTAGTCAGAAACACTGGGGCAATCAATGCCCTGTGGTCCCCTATAAGCAGACTTCCACAGTGGGTTTGATTTATTGAAATACTGGTTTAAAGGCAACAGCTCCTGTGGTGACATTCAGCAGATGCCTGATGATATACAGGTGAAAGAGAAGGTAGACTAGAGGTCATTCAGGAGATAAGAGCAAAATCAGATTACAGGTCTCAGGTGTGCGGCAAGAGAGCACGTACTCTGGTAAGGCAGACACCCTGGAGCCTGCCTGAGGAGAGCCCTGGCAATGGAAGAGGCCTAGGACAATGGAGCTTCCCCGGGGAGGGGGAGGAGGACACAGTGAAGACTCAGGGAGGTGGGAAGAGGCCCAGAGCCCCCATTCCTCAACTTAGCCAAGGGAACAGAGAGGAGCTCCAATGCATCTCGTGTCTTTACGAGCAAAGTCAGTAAGAGTCCTAACAACCATCAAAAATCAAATCAGCCGAGGTGAGTTCTAATTCACTCCAGCCCTCTGTCCAAGATCTCCCGCTCTTCTCTCTGGTCTTTCCCAAGGTTTCAATGGAGTGCTGCTCTCCCCCATCTGGTTTCCCTCCAACACTTCTCAGAAGCACTGTTGCTATCGGATGTATGTCTCTGGAAATCATCCCTCTCTGTCCCTGTTTTCCTCTCACTGGAAACTGTCCATAGTTTGAACGTCCAGACCTGCTCTTGGCTTCTTCCTGCCCACCCTGACCCAAGTCCTCCAGAATTAAGGTCCTTCCTGAGATTCAGTTTCAGCCTGGCCTGCTACAGTGTCAGAAGAGATAGAAGGAAGATATGATTCCTCCACCTTCACCCCCAGCCCTAAAATGAATCTCAGAAGGTTGGGTTACTTAACCCTATGTGTGTCCTCTCTCTGCTCTTCAATGAAGCGCAGCCTCTTCAACTGTTGTTAACCACCTAGTCCCAGTCTCTTCTCCAGCCTACTCACCATGGACTAGTTGGTGGGTGTGCTGGGACCCCTTCCTGCCACAAGGTTGCCTGCAGTGTCTATTCATGCCAAAATGTGCTCTGATTCTGCCCCTAGGTCCCTAGGCGCTGGGGCCCTCCCCATGCAGGCTGCTGCCCCATCCCCTCTGCTCCCAGGGTTTAAGTACATCAGATAGAGGAGGCTCTTGGGGAAAAGCTTTGAGTCACCTCCTCTCAAACCCCACATACTTCCTCTTCCCAACCTGTCCCTCCCTCCTCAATGCCCTGTTTCCACCCTCAATCCCCACCACTTACTATGCTCTTGTAGATGAAATTTGACAAGGTGAGGGCAGCCCCTGACCGGAAGTACTTCCGATAATTCTTGCGAGCCTGGCAGGGACATACAAGAAAAGGGCCAAAGTAAAGATAGAGAGTTATACCTGGAAGATAGAAGACAGGCCTGGAAGAGGTTCTACTATTTTTCAACCACACAAAGAACAGAGTAAGGAAAAGAGCTGAGACTATAGCTGGAGGGAGAGAGTAAAGTCAGACAAGCTGGCAGTCAGGAGGACACTCAAAGCAGAAGGCAGAGCTCTGCTGCTAAGTCAGAAACACACCCAAGCATATACTCAGATCTCCCCAAGATGCATCCACACTCCCAGACACACACAGAGCAGACCCAGAAACACACCAAGGCACAGACATACCATCACACACAGATGTGTCCTGGGTGAGGGCAGGACCTTCTCTCTGCTACTCTTCCCCACCAGCAGCAGCTGGCATGACCCGGAGGAGCCACGTGAGGGGAGGAAGCCACTCTCCCTTCCCCATTACCTTCCAACCTCTCACAAAAGCCTGGATCAACAATGCTGATGCCTTCATCTTCGCATAGCGTTTCTTTTGCTGTAGAAAACAGTGGGCCTGTTAGAAAAACTCCACCTCCTGAACCACCTCTCCGCTTCCCCCTCTCCTATTAGAGTAAGGGGGATAGGACTTTGGGGATAACAGATACCATGTTGCCCCGAAACCAAGAGGAAATGAGGATCTGACTCTTGCGCATCAGTTGGTAGTGGATGCGGCAGCGCCAGCCTCGGTACATCTTCTGTATGAGTGTGGCCAGCTCGTGGATTCGTAGGCGCCTCTTATCTTCCAGGTAGAAAAGCTGTGGAGAGGTGGAAGGGGGGCAGAGAGGGGCTCACTTAGGGGAACCCCACGGCACCAAAGGCTTCCTAGCCAGTGTTTTATTCAATCGTTCCTTAGTCCTCTTATTCATTTATGCATTCATTCATTTAATAAGCAGCTACTGAGCTCTGACTCTTTAGCAGGCATTGTGCTAAGACTTGGAAACTCAGACACACTGACTCTCAAGGAGTCCTGCTTCAGGCAGAGGCGTTCAGACCAGCAATGCAAGCACACCTAATTCCAGGGCTCAAGGCAGGCAGGGCAGGAACCCAAGAACTCAGCTCCCAGGGATAAAGTCCCTGCAGAGAGGAGACTTCCTCATCCACTATCCATTCCAGGTTCTAGAAGCTCCCGTCGCCCAGCCTCTCACTCACGTGGGCTCTCCAACTCTTCCACCTTCCAGCCCCACCAAACACAAGTGCACCCTCCAACTCACAGTCTTGGGGCTTCTGATGAAGATCTTTGTCTTCCCAAAGGCCATCTCCTCTGAGGACACACTCAGCTCCCCCAGGACCTTCTCGACCCCCTCCCTACAGGAGCAGGTGGGGAAAGCTGCCAAAGGGCATCCCAGGGGAGGGTCCTCTCCCACCTGTCCTCTACCCCCCTTCACCTCAGGAGAAGAGTTCAGTGTTCGAACAGACTTCAGAGCCTCTGAGAAGTGATCATTCAATTCATTTCCCCGAGAATCCCTTCACGAGCTTCAGCGATACACATGGCACCACCTAGTCTCTTCCCCCACAGAGGTTCCCTGCACTGCCCTTCCCTTCTCCCCAGTCTCCCACTGAGTCTTACCGGTCTCCACCGTCCCAGTGAGGCCAAGTGCTCCGGCTCAGCAATCGGTACCTTTCCAGGAAGGACCCGTAGGCCTGGCGGTAGGCATAGCCTGCTCGTCGCACCCGCACATTCTCCAGCAGCCCCAGGTACCGAGACTGGACGGCCACCAGCTCCGAGGAGAACTCACCTCGCTTCTGATGCTCATTGGGCTTTATACACCTGGTGGGAGGTAAGGCAAGGCCCGGGCTACAGGAGCTTCACCCTTGCCAGTGTCACCCATCCTGGTCTCTACACCTCTATCCTGTACACATTCCCGTTAGCTGAAAATTTTCAGAGGAAGCAGACACACTGGCCTTCCCAGTTTCACTCACTATAGCATGGTCCCTACTTGACCATGACGCTCTGCCCCTTACAGGACTCTCAGCTCCTCAGCTGGCTCTGTTTTTCATGAGGCAAAGGGAGCTGGTATCCTATTCCAGAGACAGCCACCTCCCCACCCCTGCAAGGACATGTTCTACCATGCATGGACGCTGCAAGTGTCATCACAAATGCAGCATGTTCCCCTATGTGCCCAGCATGTCACCTGATGTAGTTGGGTTTCTTGGAATACAGGTTCTTCATGAGAATGGCCACAGAACCCTTGAACTGGACCCCAGCAGTTGGGGGGCGTTTGAGAGACGCCTGCTTTGGATCACCCTCAGGAAACAAGGACCGAAGGAGGGGGTGCTGGGCCTTCCACATGGCCTGGGACAAGTCCCGGAAGAGTAGGTCGTTATTCTTGTCGATGAAGCTGTTCACGTTGTAGGTCACCTGTACAGGAACAGCACTTGGTCTGGAGAGCCCACCACATTGTCTGTCGTGCGCGTGGCCCTCCCAGTCTCACTGCGAAGTGTTCCTGGTTCTCACCTCCCCCCATTGCCTCCCCCATTGCCTTCAGCCTGTGCCCAGGCCCTAGTCTTCACCCTCCAGCCCCGTGACATCACCTTGCCCGCATAGTGGCAGATGCGGAAGCAGCTGAGGCCCATGCTGTGGTCATACTGGTGCTGGGCGTTCTGGGTGACTTTGCTCTCATAGTGGCCATGCTTGGAGAAGACCTGGTTCAGCTTTGCTAGGAAGGTGGAGTCACTGACCACCCCAGGCCGCAGGCACTCCTCGTCCAGCATGGCCAGGATGCCTCGTTGATTCTGGCCAGGGGAACACGATCAGCCCAACCTAGACCTGGTCCTTCAAGACGTCCACATCCTCACTGCCGCCCCTCTGCCCCCTCATCCTTTGCCCTCTTTACCATCCTTATCAAGTGGGGTCGGGGAGGAGGGGAGAGAGAGACAGGGGAAGGGTGTTCAGGCAGTCTGGAGGGGGAGGTCCCAGAGATGAGAGAAGGATAACTTACATGCTCAATGAGGTTACAGATAATGCCATTATCAAAGTAGTCCACCTTCACCCACGGTATGCCCTGGCAACGGGAGATGACAAATTACATGGAGCAGGTCCAAGACAAGTCTCCAACGGTCTCACCAGAACCAGGCCCCCTTTCACCCACCCCACAAAGGACCATCAGAAAGCCCTATAGTTCAGAGGGGTCCTTGGTGTGGTTTCTATCACGTCCTCATCCCTCCAAGGTTGATGGAGAATTTGTGGGGTGGGTGGACAGACGTGTGGGAGGACCCAGAGCAGTTGTGAGAGAGGGTGAGACAGTGCAGAAAGCCATGTAGGTGCTGTAGGTTGGAGAAGGAAGTGGAATATGTTGGGTGAAGACTGGGATAGGGATTACCCCACTGTGGGAGTGGGGAAGGGTCCTTGAGTATGCAGAAGAGCAAATGGCCATACTGTTCTGGCAACAAGCTATGGAACCAAAGCACATAGGTGAGTTTATCATAAAACAACAAAGCTAATTTGATACATCTTCAAAGACCTTCATCAGTGATTCCCAAACTCAAGTGTGCATCACAGTCACCTGGAGGGCTTGTTAAAATACAGATGGCTGGGCCCCACCCCCAGGTTCTGATTCAGCAGGTCTGGGACAGGGCCCGGGAATCTGTCTTTCCAACATGTTCCCAGGGGATACTGCTGCTGCTGGTCCAGGACCACACTTTCAGAACAACTGATCCACATGATACTTTGGGGCTGTATAATTTGTTTTTTAAAAAAGCAAGAATGGTATAGAAGCAGAAGACCCATAAGACCATGCATCTCTAATTTAGAGCTTTGCTGGGTAACAGGCCTACAGACAGGAGAGCTCTGGACCAGCCAAGGGCCAGACCTCCCAGGCTCAGGCCATTCCCAGGTGTGGTTGGGGAACACGAGCCTTTCTCTTCCTCCTCCCTCACAGGTCTTTAGGGAATGCAGAGTGGAATTAAGCAAAGTTGCCCGCCCACTTCATCCCCCAAATACCTCCCCAACTGGCCAAATGAACGCTCCCCCAGGACCTTCTAGAATGCTTTCCCATTCTATGCAGCTATAGAAAAGCACCTTTATGTGCTGACGCACAAAGGTCTCTTGTTAACTGGTGGAAGCAAGGTGCAGAACAGAGTGTATTCACTGCCACTTGAATAAATTTTGAGGGAAAATATATTTACAGGTTTTTTTGATTACACATAAAAGACCTCTGGAAATAGGCCGACTTCAGTTGCCTCTAGATGCGGGGGGAGAGCTAGGAAGCTGGGATGGGGTGGGAGGGAGACCTTTCTTTATACACCTTTTTAAGCTTTTTGAATCTTGAAGCATGGGAATGTATATCTATTTGCTGATTTAAAATTTTAAAGTAAAAACATACAAAACTAAAAAAACTTTTAGTTGTGACCACATTGCCTGAAATTCTGCCACAGCAGGTTCCTGAGGGCTCACAGGGAACATCCCTGGGAGGGTTTTGATGAGTGAGACTCAGCCATTCACGCTTTGGAGTGAAT